CCCGACGGTGTCCGGCCGGCCTAGTGCAGTGGCTGCCCCCTGCCAGGGGTCGAGGCAAGTCTCCCCGAGGAAGAGGAAGGGCCACCCCTTTAAAAGGGGCCGAAAGCTCGCCCCGAAACGCAAACCTTCCCTTTAAAAGTGTCTGAAGTCCTCCGGCTAAAAGAGGCCGCCCCTTTAAGGAGTCCAGGGTCCTTCAAACGGCAGGCCGTCCCTTTAAGGGCTCGGGAGTTAAGTTTCTAGTTCCCCACAAGCGGCCACTTCTGTAAAGGACTTCTTGCGTAGGAAGGAGGAGAAGACGAGAAACCCCACTTGCCCTAATTCTCCCAACAGCACAGTTCTCAATTTGTCAGCTTCTGTTCAGCGGCTTCCCCTTTAAGGTTGGCGTTGAAGTCGGCCGAGTTCAGTGGCCACCCCTTTAAGGAAATTTAAAGGGGCCTTCTCCGGGCCCAGCTCCTCCAGCCTCCGCCTCCGGTCGCCATGAAAGGCGCGAGGCGGGGCGGGGCTGCGGAGCCAGCCCTCCAAAGCCCCGGATGTGAGGCAACGGTGACGGGTAGAGCTTCTCTGTCCGCCGACATAAAAGTCTCTTCCTCCTTTCCTCCGTCTGTCTGACTTGTGCCTTAGGTGCTCCGGAACGGCCGTTGGACAGCGGAGTAGCTCCAGCGCACCCTCCTGTTGTCTCCTTTGGAGTCTTGGGCCTCGTCTCCACCAGGACTTCCCTGCCCCTCCTCCCTCTTCCTCCTCAGCCTACGCCTCCTTCCTCTCTCCGCCTCCTTCCCTTCACCCCCTACAGACGCAGTCGTTGATAGGTTGAGAAGCATACGTCAAATCGAAGGGCGGAGTCAGACTCGGGGGAGTGGGTAATATGTAACCGCGCTCAAATCTCGGATTGGGTTACGTCAGATTCGCTCCGCCCTTTCTCAAGTCTTATGACTCAACTGGTTAGAAGTAGGTGTTTGGGGCGGTCCCTCGTGCGGCCCCGCCTCTTCCTGCTCTTCGTTTATTGGCCCGCCTCCTGACGGCATCGAGGCGGAGTGGGACGTGGTTCCCGGCTCAAACCCGGCGGTTGGCCGCTGGGCGGCGCGCGGCGGCTCACGGTGCCGTTGGACATCCACTGACGTCTCTCCCGTAATCCACAGGCTTCCTGGTGTCTAACGCACGCGCCTGGCGTTGCCACCGCCCGGCTATAATTCGGCGGGTCACGGAACTGGGCGGCTCGAGTACCTCGAAGGAAATTGCGTCCGGTTTACTGCCTGGTTCAGTGCGAGGGTGCTGGCCTGCGGTCTCCGAGCGCTAACGGTTAAAACACACCTTGTACTTGTGTGCCGAGCACTTTCTCACATCTGAATGTATTCTGTAGTAATAGTTCCGTGAGGTAGCTCGTCTGTGCTGCCACTGCGCTGTTCTGCTTCCAAGTCAATTACTATGGCGAGTGCCGCTTCTGGCCTCTGGTTGCTGGGGTTACCGCTGTAATGAACAACGCACTGGCGAGCCTTGTTGTCTCATGTATAAAACGCCTGATTCCCTTTCACAGGATTATATGCAGGACAAGGACCTGTAACACACTGTCCTAAGAGATCACTCTTAACTCTTGAGTCCAGTAGCAAATTCTGGCCTGAACCATAGGTGGAACTCAAGGCCAGCCTTCCTTTTTTCTCCTTTTTTTAGTTTTGCTATAGGACATATGTGCTCACTAAAGAGAGACAGGGAATGTGAGAAATCACTCCCCAGGGGGCAATTACCACGCTGCAAGATTTTGGACATGTACACACATGTGGCCAGGGTGATTTTCAAACCACCTGGTCTGGGACTGGAACCACTCAGCAGGTCATGTGGGCTCCAACACCTTAACCTCCACACCACCTGCTGGCCCCACCCTTTTCTTAAAAAAAAAAAAAATTGCCAGAGGGCATGCGCTTGTGAAGGAGAAGGAGGAGGAGGAGGAGGGGAGAGGAGAGAGAAAAAACACCTCCCATGGTGAATGGCCACTCTGCAATCCCTTCCCTATTTCAACCTGTCAGGGTTTTGGGCACTTAGGCACATTTGCCCAAGGCCCTGGGTTCAGAACTTGAACCATGCAATTGGCCATGTGCGATCCAGCCACCTTAACTACCAAGGTCTGGGCTGGCCCTCAGGGCCAACTAGATGAAAATCTTGATCCACACAGAATCTTTTCAGAGGCTTGATTTAAGTTTATCAGGAGAACCCTGACCAGGGTTCTGGGTTCCAGTAGCATGTGGAGCTGATTCAGAAGTGTCTGTACAAAACTCCTAAGGGTATGTCCAATGACTATCCAGCCCCCTCCCTGTACCCAATGCCCTTCACTTTCCCTGGCACCTCCCCCATTTCCCAGTTCTTTAGTGACCAGCAAAGAAACATCAGCCAGTACTGCCCATCAATCTCAAACTCAGCTAGAGACATAAAAGAATCAGAAACATATTGAAAACTTTACTAGAAATATAGAGAAAAAAATATATAACTGCCTCCGAGGTTTCTCCTCCTGGATAGACCAACAGATAGAGCCCTTAGGTCTGATGGGGTCGTTCCATATCCACATCCTCCCCCAGGAACAAGGCATCTAGCTCCTCTAGCCGCTGTTGCAGCAGGGGTTCCACATCTGGGCTGGGGGCTAGGTTGGGAGTAAGGGCCTTGCCAGTTGCAGCCCGGACTCCGCGGGATGGCCGCCGGCATCGAGGAAGGCTGCTGTCTCGGAATTCTACAGCCCGCCGGAGCTTCTTTGAACTGGTGAAAATCAAAGTCCCATTGCGCTCCCGTGGTTCTTCGAAGATGGTCTCAAAGGTTCTGGACCAGGCAGGGAGAGTGACCAGGTCACCAGCATGCCCCCTGGCTCTAGCCTTCCCTTTACCACCCTCAAGCTTTCAAGGTTTCTCACCGCCTGGTTGTGGGTGACTGGTAATTCTTGTTGGTATAAATTTCTTCCAAGCTGAACTCCTTCTTGTTCAATCTGGGAGAAAAGAGCAGAGGCCACTGAGAAACCTTAGGCCACTAGAGAATGGAGGAATAAGTAAGGCCTGGTCTGTATTTCAGTTTGTGGGACATGCATGGGCCAGGAGTGCTGCCTGAGGCAGACAGGTGGTTCTAACCACAAACCATGTCCACACCAAATTGTCTCCTACAAGCTGGACTATGTGGCCCAAGAAACAAGGCTACATTTTAGGAGCTATGAGCCTATGCTTACTTGGCCAGTGAAGCTCCATGTCCAATGAGCTTCTCACCTGATTGGCCGAGGCAGCCCCATTGGTGTAAGGTTTAGTTGAGGACGGGCTGGAGTCCTGCGTATTCTGAATCGAGAAACCTTTCCCATGGTCTGCAAAAACAGGGTAGAGGGTGACAAAGTGGCATGAGCTCAGGTTCCCTATCTACCTTGTCCCCTTCATCTGTGCTTCTACCTTGGTCTCAGGATCTGAAAGCACCTGGTCCTTTGAAGCTCTTGGCTCCTTTCCCTTGGTTGAGCCCAACCTGCGGAGAAGTTCAAGGCTCAAGGACAAACAAAAATCACAGTAACAGTTCCCTCTCTTGCCCACTAGACACTTAAGGAAGGAGGCTGGGTCCAGACTATGGTTAGGGCTTCAAGGCAGTTTATTAAGAGCACTACCTGGGTTCTGCTGGTTCGGAGAAGGAGGAAGTGGATGCAGTGGACGAACAAGATGTGGTGAGAGAAGGGGAGGCTCCCACTCCTCCGAGAGGGAAGACCTCTTTCCGGAGACAGGGTCGAGGGGGTGGCGGGGCTCGGACCATCTCCCCACCACCCACAGTGTGCCGCCGTGGCCGTGGCTGGTTTGAATGGGGTGGAGCAGGGGGCCAGGTGCAGGTACCTGGGCCCAGAGGCCCCAGATCAGGGCAGGAGTGGCTTCGGCCCAGGGAGGGCTTAGGAAGAGGTGCTGGGGTACTGTGGT